ATAAAAATCACAAGTTTAGCAGCTTACTATTTACTTACTATCTCACAGTTCCACGGGTCAGAGGTCTGCCATAGTATCACTAGTTTCTCTGAGGGTATCAGGCAGCCAAAATGAAGATGTCAGCTGGCCTGGGCTCTTTTTCTGACACTTTCCAGGATTTTCCAATTTTGGGACTTCACTCTAAGAAATAATGTCCTATCAGTTTTCTATTTCTGACATAATAAATTACAAGTTTAGCAGCTTACTATTTACTTACTATCTCACAGTTCCACGGGTCAGAGGTCTGCCATAGTATCACTAGTTTCTCTGAGGGTATCAGGCAGCCAAAATGAAGATGTCAGCTGGCCTGGGCTCTTTTTATCTGACACTTCACATGAAAATCCATTTCCAAAACCATAGACGTGACTAGCAGAATTCAATTCAGCACACTTGTGAGACTGAGTCTATTTCTACACAGGACATCATCATTCTCAGCTTCTACAGACTCCTCTCATCTTAGCTCATGGCTCACTAGCATCTTCAGAGCCAGCAACAACAGGTCTCAGTCTTTTCCTGTTTGGATTTGACATCCTTTCCTACCCAGAAAAAATCTCTGCTTTCAAGAAATGATCATGTGATTACTTTGAGCTTTCCCAAACAATCGGTATAATCTATTTTAGGGTTAACCCATTAGTAACTGTACTCACATCCGTGATTTTTTAATAGGCATGACAACAGGGAGAGGTGAAAGTCATGGGAGCCAAAACTGCCTAACACATACATTTTACACAATAACCTAGTACAGAAACACAAATGAGACAAAAATCAAAATACTTATCTTTATAGAATTCAACACTTTACATTGACAAATATTTTTAATCATGTACATGTTTTGAAGCATTGACAGTCTAACATCCTTTCAAAAAATACAATATACCATTAACATAGTCACTTTGCTATATTAAAAATTTCAGTGACATTTATTTCACATCCCACCTACGAGCTGCAACCTATAATTTTGATAAAAGGCCATCATACTTTTTAAATTCCTGTTTATAATACTAATAGGTCTATGAAAGGAATTCCAGGGCCTATGTAACACCCAAAATTATATGCAGTTATTGAGACTAATCACAAGAAAAATATATCCAGGCTGGGAACATTCTATATAATAACTTAGCCAGTATTAGTCAAAGCTATCAAAGTAATTAAAAAAATGAAAAAAGACTGAGAAACTGTCACAAACCAGAGACTGATAAATGCAATACAGTATCCTGGATTGAATCATGGAACAGAAAATATTAATAGGGAAATTAGTAAAATGCAAAATAAGTCTGAAGTATAATTAACACCAACCTATGAATGCCAGTTTCTGAGTCTTGACAAACATACTTGACAATGGTAAGGTGTTAGCAATGGGGAAACTAGGTAAATAAAATATTAAGGAGGCTCTGTAACTTTTCTGTAAATCTAACATTATTTTCAAATAAAGTTTATTCTTAAATGTTACATGACTGAGCATCTGTGTATTATTCTAGGGAGAAGATCCTATGGCCTTTATATCTCAAAAGTGGTCTATAATCCAAAAATTCTTAAGAACCACTGTTCAAGATCTCCTGTGCTTTCCTTAACCACTGCTCCCTAAGAACTCTGCCTTCTTACAGTTTCACCCACATCTTCTCAATAAAATCAGAATTTAGCCTGGAGCTGAAGAAGGTAAAAAGAACTACTATATGACCAGAATGGAGTTTGAGTTTGGGAAAAATTTCTAAATCTGGAGACACATGATGGTGCACAGCATTAGGAAAATACTTAATGCCACTAAGCTATAAACCAAAGAATGGCTGAAACAGTAAATTTGGTCTTTTACCACAATTTTTTTAACAAGAAGTGCCTATACATGCCCCATGAATAAACCTAAAAGAAATTAAGTGAAAAAAGCCAGACCCAAGAGTACATTTTTTGTGATTCCATTCATAAGAAAATGTTCAAAAAATTCACTGTAGTGTGAGTTATACATAGCCATGCGTACACTAAACATTGATATGTTCACTTTAAAATGGCAAATTGTATGTTATATGAATAAGACTGTAAGAAAAAACTTGAACTTTTTTTTTTTTTTTTTTTTTTTTTTTTTGGTTTTTTTGAGACAGGGTCTCACTATGTAGTCGAGACTGACATGGAACTCACTATGTAGCTCAGGCTCATCTCAAACTCACAGCGATCCTCCTGACTCTGCCTCCTGAGTGCTGGGATTACAGGCATGCACCACCACGCCTGGCTGAACTGCTTTTCAATGTAGGACATTTATTTGACTCTTAAGAAAAAAATGTGACTTCATAAATTCTGGAACCACATTCTGGTGACTAGACAGAAAAATGAACAAAATTAATGACAAGACTATGATTTAAAAGGCTGGCAGGTACAACTGGGAAGGTCTACACTTGTGCATGGTAGCCCTCCAGTCACAAGGCAAGAACAGAGGAGATTATAAAACACACTAGAATGAAGTTGATCAGAGACCTTTATTCTGGTCCCTGTCATTCATTAAGCTACCTATGCAGAACAATTTCTGCCCCAAGTAGCAGCTGCATCCAGATAGATGCGAGTGGAAGACAGACATGAATGGAAGACCTTGTAGAAAAAAAGCTGTCAGATGAGATCTCAGCTTATCCCAGCTCACGTAAAGGTAAAACAGGAAGAGTATATATGTGTGCATGGACTCTGTTCTTCAAAGCTGAGGTCTGCAGAGAGGGACAAGCTAAAGGATGCAGAGAAGACTCATGAAACTGCCCAGCTCAGCAATCAATCCAAAGTACCTAAAAATACAAAGAGCAATGTGTAAAGCAAGGTGTTTCAACAGCTGGATTATTTTAACAAACTGGCAAAGTTAAAAGGGGCGTTAGAACTGACAGCAGTTCTAATTCCGAGGAACAGCTACCTAAAAAGTACCTGTGGAAAAACAGGATATTACTGAGCGCAAACAGTTGAGAATTAAGCCTACCAATCTATAAATTAGGATGAGAGGAGGGAAAAGGGTTAAGGAGTTATTGTGTTAGTTAATAAGCACCCACAGAAATCATACTCTGGGTCAGTGATATAAAATAAGTAAGATAATCTCTCTAAGCAAAGAGCTTACAATTTTTTCACAAAGTTCCAGTTTAAAATGGGAACTGGACCCACAAATTTGTATGCCATCCCATCCAAATTTACATTAGTGAGGAAAACAGGTTTTTAAACAGTATAAATCTGCAACTAAGAATAGGAGAGCCATCAGCAACTAAGAGATTAAAAAAAAAAAAAACTGAATTACCAAAATCTGAAGCAGGAAAAAATGAGCCTAGAATGAACAGAGAAGGGGCTCCAGCAGAAGGGAGAGCACATCTGCCCAGAAGAACCACAGGGAGAATCTAGACTCAGTCACCAGGAAGTGACACAAAGAATTATAAGACGTAAATGGGTTGATGACCCATGTTTCTATAGGGCAAACAGCTGCCCACACATTTTCCTTACAATCCTCCCTCCATTCAGAAACCTAATTTTGGAGCAAATAAAATAAAAGCACAGGGCTGTCTTCTAAAGAGCCAAATGAATCATCAGATGAGAGCAATCTCTGATAATACCACTCCTGCACTAAACCATTCTGCATTCTAGTCTTTGGGTGCCTCGGCATAATATCCCATTCCTGTTCACCCTAAACTATAGATGTCAGCAACAACCACATCTGCTACTGCTACTACTTCTACTACTACTACCACTACTACTACTGCTACTGCTACTGCTACACACACACACACACACACACAAGCATGCACACAGCTTCCAAAAAGCCTTCTTACTCTCTCATTCTAAACAGAATGAAAATCACTGGGTATTTGCCTACATAACAAAAAGGAGAAAGCAAAATTGATTTAAAAGTCCTAGAATAAAACATAATTCAGGAAAAAGAAAAACAAAGCAGAAACATCTCTAATTTATTAAAAATAAATGCCTCCACATTTGATAACAAGTTCCTACTGAGGTCAACTGACAGAGCTAAACAGAAAGAAACAAACAATGAAAGAAAATCTTTCAGTCAGTGAAATAGTAATAAAAAAGGCAAATCTAAAATCTCGAGATGGCACAGAAAAAAATAAGCCCAGTCTCCAAAGCTCCCTTTGCCCAAAGGGCATCTGCCCATCTGAAAGAGAACAGAGAGAGTTCAAGTGTGATGTGAATTTGGCAAGCTGAGGGAACCAAGAGTCAAACCTCAGTGTCTGCCATAGCAGGGAGGTCTGATAACCAGCCCCTTTTTATGCTGGCATTACAAAAAGTTATAGCCTCAATGTAAGGCTAAACCAAAAATTAACTCAGATGCCTCACAGACCTGAACTCTGGGTTTGTATCACCATGGTAGGCCAGAAAACTTCAAGTCTCAGATCTTAGACTGATAATGCCCCACAGTACCTTGCAGAAGCAAGTGAAATATTCCCTGGCAAAGGGCATCACCGCACAAGCCTCAAATTAGCCAACAAATAACTTTTTTTCAAATGTAATGACCAGTATACAAAGACAGTACAGAGAAAAACCGACAAAAAAAAAATTCAAAATATTGAATATTAGATTGGTCAGACTACAAAAGCTTCAAAACACTATGGATATTAGATATGAGACCAGATACAACTAAAAACAATTGTGCTTACTGTTTAAAGAAATAAAAGCTTCAAAGGAGCTGTAGAAAATACAAAAATATAACAAAACAGATTTTTTAAAGGACCAAATAGAACTCATGCTACTGAAAAATACAACTGAAGCTAAAAAAAAATCAAAAAAATTTAAAAGAAATAAAAGAACTAAAGTTAGAATTAAACTGAATGTCAGAAAATTAGAGAACACACCATGGAGAATCTTTATATATATCTATATAAACATATATATGAATCTTTATATATGTTTAATAGGAATCCCAGAGAAAAGAGAAAGCAAGAACAAAGTGAATTCAGTATCTGAAGAAATACTGGCTAAGAATTTTCCAAGGCATATGAAAGACATCAGACTACAAATTCAAAAGCCCAAGCCAACTACTTAAAAAGAAATCTACATATCTATACACCAAAGTGAAACTAAAGAAAAATCAAAGGCAAAGAGAAAATCTTAAAAAGGAACAAACTACCTTCAAAAGACATACACCAACAGGTAATTTCTCAACAGAAACAATGGAAGCCAAAAAAATGTAGAGTAACAGCTGCAATGTGCTACATGAAAATAACTTTCCAAATTCAAAATCGGCAAACTCTTTCAAGAATAAAAGTAAAATAAAGACATTTTCATACCAAAAAAGGCAAGCAGAAAATCAGCTACCAGCACACAAAGTTCTAGGAGGTTAATTTCAAGAAAATACTTACAAATAGATAAGAAATTCAGAAAGGAAAGATCAAAGATTACAATAAATATGTGGATAAATCCCTATCATTGGCTGCATGATGTAACACTAACAATCCCTTACGTGGACTGACAAAGACACATAACAGTAACAGCATGTCATGTTAGGGAATGAAGAATTTTTGAATTGAATCAGTGGATTCTGAGATTCCATTTTGCTGATGATAAAGGTAAAGATTCTAACATTAGATTCTGATAAATCAAGAATGCATGCAATGAACTAACAGACTGATAACTAAAAGGATAGAAGTAGAATATATAATTTCCAAACTGAAGAGGAAAAAAATAATCCAAAAGATAAAGAATAAAAGGAAAAACAGGCAGGACAATCAGAAACTAAAATAAAATGCAAGATTTAAACCCACACATATCATTAAGCACATTAGATATAAATGAACTAGTGCTCCAGTTAAAGGTAAAGACTATCCTAATTTAAAAAGTAACCCAATTATATACTGTTTACAAAGATATGTAAGTGTAAAAGCAAAAAGATGAGAAAGAATACCACTTAAATATTCATGAAAACTAGTTAGCTTTAAATATTAGGCAAAACAGACCTTCAGGCTAAAGGCACCACTAGAAATAATAGTCAATTTATAATTATTAAACAATCAATCATGAACAATATATAATATTAAATTTATATACACCTAATTACATGGTCTTATATAATGAAAAACAGACCCAGAAATGTAAACTGAAATACAGTAATTTTCGGTCATAATGGTAGTCTTTTAACATACTGCTCTCAGTAATTGATAAAATAAGCAAACAGAAAGAAATTCGGCAAGAACACAAAAATCTGAACAATACAATAATGAAACGTGGCACTGCACCCAACAACTACAGAATGCATTTCTTCAAACACACAGAGCACATTGTCAAAGCTGACTACATGCTTGACTATAAAACACAAGTTATTTTTAAGAAAAATTACTAAATATTAAGGCTAAACAAAGATGTACAAAGAAAAGAATCCTCAATAATCTAGGCTTGGAGTCTACCATGGGACTGTATCTTAAAATACATTTAAAAGAATATCTCAAAAGTGCCATATACCTAGGTTGATATACAGACATAGAATAGAGGAGTTTAAAAAATAATAATAAGTGAAAAAGAGACTAAGGATGGTAATGATGCTTAAAGGAGTAATGAGAACACCGTTAGGGTGAAGGTGAGAATGAACTGAGAGCACATGGCTTTCAAAAAGCTGCTCTATCACTATACATACACTGAAGAGTAAGAGTTAGGAATTAAAGCAGCAGAAATAGGTCTGAGAGAAGGAAGTTAAGGGAGTGTTTCAAATATTTGCTATTTCAGTAAGATTCAGTTAGTACCCAAATTAATCCAAAATTCCTAAAAACAAATAGATAAAAGCAAATGGATTATCTCCCTATAGCAAAATGATCACTTTATTACATGGACTACTGGAGAAAAATAAAAAACAGGTGTCATTTTAAATGCTGACAATTGTTTCTGGTCTCTAACCTTATGATGATGGGGCAAAATTTGTACCTAGGGATGGAAACCTAAGTAGGAATCATACTTTTGAATACAACTAACTCCACCGGTGTTCTTATATTCCCTTTCACTTTTTTATGGTTAACAATTTTCCAGACGTTCTAATTCCCCAAGGATGGAAACTGAATCTCACTAGATTAAGCAAATCAGTTTTTTCTATCCTAATAGAAAGCAGAGAGAAAGAACCATCCCTGCACAAACAAGAGAGAAGCAGACATCTGTTTCTGAACTTACTTCATCAGTATGGAAAAGACCAGTGGAAATAACTGTCCTCTGATAGAGAACTTACCTTCCAGAAAAGCAAATTCATCCACAGCTTCTATTGCATTATCTGAAACATAAGGTAAGGGCAAACCTTACTAACACTGGTCATTTAAATATGGGCCCCAAAACATCACAATGCACACAATGAAGGGGATGGGGTTATTTCAAATATGTCCCTTACTGCTGCCTACAGATCTATTTCCACTCTACCTCCTGTTATTTGTTGTTTCTCTAGAGGTGTAAGAAAAGCCCAGGGAACCTGTTCAATTACAGGGAAAACTGGAACTCTCCTACAGTCCTGTTTTCCACCTAAATTCAATTATTTCTGTGCTCTAAATATCAGAAAAGAGTTTAACAACATAGCAGGAATTGTGGGATATAGTATATCAAAGTTTCCACATGTGCAAAGGTTACCAGTTAAGACAAAAAGGTCACAAACCAAATTTTCAATTTTCACAGTGATGCCTTCTCAGCCAACAATGGGAAAGCCTGGCCCAGTTGGCCTCCTTGTCTACCCCCAGACATCACAGGGACACCCTACCCAAATCTCTCCTCTGGAGGGTTTTCCTCTTTCCTTGTTGTGCACAGCAGTAGGCATCTTTTGCAATGGTCTCCACAAACAGTTCCTATAAAGCAAAAAAGCAGAATGGTCGATGGGCTCCAGGCCACTGAAGTGTGAGCACTAAATGCATTGAGTAAAGAAAGGAAGAAGTGGCTTTAGGCACGCCGAGAGGTTCTGGAAGCTAAGGTTGCCCTGGACTTCACGAAGGTCCTTCAACTATACATTCCCTCATAAACCAGAATGACACCTCTCTCTTCAGTTACTTGTAAATCCTGTTCACTCACTACATTCCAACAAGATATACAAATTAGAGACGTTAATCAGCCCTCAAAAAAAGGCAGGTTAACCAACACAACTGCTACAGGTGTGAGGCCTCTCTTCCTTAGATCCCCCCCCCCTCAGCACAGCCCTCCCAAGGCAGCCAGCCTTAGCATCCCTCACTTTCCGGGCCTTAGCAAACCCCGCCCCCTGGAAGCCCCGCCCCTCACAAACGCGACGCTCTCCCTTCCCCGAAAGCCCTCGCGCTCCCGCCGCACCGCGGCTCGCGCCAGAATGAAGATGGC